TGGGCAGCCCAAACCCCGCCCCATGCTTCGTTTTGAGCCGTCCTCGGTACCTGCCATTCCCACGTTGGACGTCCCATCTCATGTGGTAAATTCCTCTTCCCAACACGCCTCAACAACAAGAAAGTTGTTGAGGTGCGCATTGAACCGCCTCCAAACCCGTCCCACCCCACTCTTGGGAACCATGAAAAATCCAAACCCCTTTTCATGGTTCGTTTTGACCCTTCCTAAACCATCCTAAACCACCCCATGCTAGAGAAGCATGGGCAGCCCAACCCCCTCCCCATGCTTTATTTTGAGCCTTCCCAAACCCTCCCCACCCCACTCTTGAGAACAATTCAAAGCAGCGTTCGACGCGGAGAAAAAAAGAGTTTGCAGATGTTTATCCTGGAAATCCCAAGATTCTTGTCAATTTTGATCAAATTTTGTAATGTCATGTGTCGAAAAAATGGAAAAATTACTGCCCGTTGGGCAGGCACATAACTCCCATGTCATGTGTATTTAAAAAACATAGCACAATTGATACATAAATCCCATGTCATATGCCAAAAAAACTAGGCTAAATCGGCCGCCAAGTCCCGTGTCATCTGCGCCTACTATACTTATGGTTTATGTAATTGTTTAATATATAGTAGTAAATTGTTATAGTTACGGATATACTTATCCATTAAACATATTCATTTCTCTTATAGGTTCCATTTGCTATACACATTATGAACATCATATCGGTATATACGGGTTATTTTATGGATATCATTATATAAATGGTTATAGTTAATAATTCCACCAGTAAACAAGTATAATTAATATATTATATTTATTTTATATACTCGTAATATCTTGTAAAGCTGTGGTTGTTTCATCTCCCTTGGCTCATTACAAAGTTTAATTCAAAACCAATGGTAATGAATGGGCCTGCTACTTGAGGAATTCAATGATTACCCCTTGATGGCCGGGCTTGGATCAAGAATCCACGATGCATTGGTAGATTGTCATGAAATGGGATTTGATTGATGATTCGTTTTAAAATGTCATCCATCCAATATAGTAATGTTTACTAACTCCAACAGAGAGCAAAAATGGAGATGGACCAACCGAGCAGTCATCCAATAAGTTATTTTTTTGCGCCCTTAATGAGAAACGAACGGATGGATGAACCCACCTTTTTTCACGGCAACCTTCATGATAGGGCCACAACCAGATTGTTAAAAAAAACAAATCTTTCCGGGATGAAGATCCAGCAATTCCTGGTTCAATGGGGGCCAATAGGGAGCAATAGGGACCGTTAAAAAACAACGGTGGAAATGGGGTGCTGGTTGTTTTTCTGTGCACGGCTTGGAGATTCACCATGGCAGTCTGGACCATCCGAAAATCCATGGCTTGGCATCAGATTTTAGCAACGAAGCAGTAGTAACTTAGGATATTGTTCGGATGTTCACTCTACCCATCCCTAGCCATTTTTGATCATGTTGAAGAGACTGTGGATTAAGCGCGCGTAAATTTGGGTCATTAATAGCGCAAAAGTTGGGGTCACTAAGCGCGCATAAACTAGGTCATTCCAAGCGCAGAAGAGTTGTATATATATAATATATATATATTATATTAAATATATATAATATATATATTTCAAAATTAATCGCAGGTTACGGGAGGTTACGGGAAGTTACGGGAGGTTACGGGGTCTTCACATTTTAGAGATTCTATATATAGATTCTAGACTCAGAATCGCGCTTGGTTACGGGAGGTTACGGGAGTCTACGGGAGGTGACAGGAAGTTACGGAAGGTTACGGAAGGTTATGGGAGGTTGCGGGAGGTTACGGGAGGTTACGGGTTCGGCAGATTTATAGAGATTCTAGAGATTCTTCACTCAGATTCTATAGCTAGGTTACGGAAGGTTACGGAAGGTTACGGGTGGTTACGAGAACCTCAGATTTTAGAGTTTCTAGAGAATTTGGGATTTTAGAAATTCCTTTGATTCTAGAGATTCTAGACTCAGGTTCTAGCTTAGTTACGGGAGGTTACGGGAGGACGGGATACCTAGATTCTAGAAATTCTAGAGATTCTGGGGAGATTCCTAGGTAGGTTACGGTTACGGGAGGTTACGGGAGGTTACGGTTACGGAAGGTTCCTGGATACTTAGCTTCTACAGATTCCAAAGATTCGAGAGATTCCTAGGTAGGTTACGGTTACGGGAGATTACGGTTACGGGAGGTTACGGTTACGGGAGGTTACGGGAGGTTACGGGAGGTTACGGCTACGGGAGGTTACGGTTACGGGAGGTTACGGGAGGTTACGGGAGGTTACGGTTACGGGAGGTTACGGGAGGTACCTGGATACTTAGATTCTACAGAATCCAGAGATTCAGGAGATTGCTAGGTAGGTTACGGTTACGGGAGGTTGCGGGAGGTTACGCGAGGTTACGGGAGGTTACGGCTACGGGAGGTTACGGGAGGTTACGGGAGGTTACGGGAGGTTACGGGAGATTACGGTTACGGGAGGTTACGGGAGGTTACGGGAGGTTACGGTTGGGAGGTTCCTGGATACTTATAGATTCTATCAGATTCCAGAGATTCTAGAGATTCCTAGGCAGGTTACGGTTACGGGAGGTTACGGGGGT